CAAAATTTATCAAACTTGCAAATATAGTTTTCCAACCACTTTCATTTGCAAGCTGTCAGACTGTTTTAACAGGTTTCCTCCAGGTGGCTGCTCTGAATCTCGGAGATCACTGCATTCCTAATAGCATTACATTTTCTAAAAGGGACAGCTTCCTCCCCTCTTACATAATCCGTGACCATTTCTGTAACTCTGTGCGAAGTCCTCCCTCTGTGGTCATCATACTGGACCTTCTCTCTCCTGTTGTGTGTTGGAACTTCTTTTGCAACCTAAAAAATTCAACTTTCAGTTTCAGAAAATATAGCTTTAATACAGCTGTAAATGATGTGGCATTTTTGAAAGGTCACTTTTTTTTTTTTTTAATGGTTGGAAGGAAAATCGGAAATATTTGTGAGTCATTCTAGTTGTCTAAGTAAGTTCAATGCCAGTTTTCTCTCCCTCCAAGGTTAGGTGCTTAATTTAAATACAGAGTACCACTTACCTCCATATGTCCATGTTTAATTTTTGCAGTGTGGCAGAATACAATGATACAGTCCCTTGGAGTAGGAAATTTTCATGTGTGCTTGTGGGTGGTTTATTGCTTCCATCAGGTTTTTTTTTTTTTTTTTTAATGTTTGTGCCTCTGATAACAGTGGTGGTGCCCCATGACCATAGCCGCCTTTCCTGTCACTGTTTCAGGATTGAGTTCCCAATTTCCACATCAAGGGATATGGAAAACCCTTTTGTTTTCTCTGCAAATGTCTCATTATCAACAGAGTGACTTTGGACTAATATCTCACCTCTTTGAACTTGAGTTTTTCTCATCTATAAATTTTTGGGGGAAAGAGCTTATATAGATGTTGACCTTTAAAAACTTCAGCACGGTTCCTGGAAAATCATTAACTGCTTAGTAGGTGGGAGCCACTGTGAATGTTTAGTTAATGATGCACGTGTTTCCTGTGCAACATGGCTTCACCAGTGTCCATTATTTTGCTATCTCCTTTGTTACTTTGCAACGGTATGTGGCTCTCCAGACTTGGAGCTCTCAGGGTGGAAAGTTGGGGCAATGAGAGTAATAGAAATTTAGGAGTAAACAGAATAAATAAGGGTCAAATTCATTAGCTATTCAGGTAATGTCAGATTTCTTATGCTGATTAAATTGTGAAAATGCAAAAGTTTAAAAGAGGACTTTCTACAGAAAAAAGAAAATGGCATTGGTACATTTGGAGACTCTAATACTGAAGTGGAAAAGAAATCGAAGGAACAAAAAACTACATGGTGAATTGAAGCATGGGCTGAAACTTATGTTGCCATGTGTGTATTTTACCTTAGATGCTGGGATTCATACCTTAATGTCAATAAAAGAATATAGTGTTTAAGAACAGTAAAGCAATCCTGCTTTGCTCATTGTTGGCAGGCCTTTAATTGAACCTCTTGCTTTGTCTTTTGGACTCTAGAATTCAAGAAAACTGGAAAAGACCCATGGAGAAGCAGTAAAATTAATCAAAACATTATAAAAATCAGACTCTTAAGGAAATGGTGAAGGAGTTGTGAATCTTTAGTTTGAAGAGAAGTTTAAGAGGCTACTTAATAACTGTCTTCAAATATGTGAGGGGCTGTAATGAAAAGAATGTGAAGAATTGTTTTCTTTCTCACTAAGAACTGGAGAAACTTAGGTTAGATAAAAAAAAAAGTACTTCTTGCAAAAGAGAGAGGTATGTCATGTACAGACTGACTGTGTCGCTTATCTTTGATGTTTGGCTGTGTTCCTAGAGGTGGACTACATGTCTTCCTGAGCAGTTGTTGACTTACAGTCTCTGCCACAAATTTAGCACTCAGCCTCCAAATTAGCACTTTATCATGCTAGCTATTATTTCTTGGATCTTTCATGCATGTTGTCTCTTTTTGGCATCTCAGACTCCCCTTTCTCTGTTACAAATCAATTGTACAGCAGTGTACAGAGACAACAGGAATTCTTGTGGCCACTAAGAGAGACTCTTTTAGACCTGATCCATTAGCAGACTACAGAGGGAGTTCGCCCTTCAGTGTTTATGGATACACTTGGAATCACTGTTTACTTCAGAGAACAGTACAGTCCCTCTAAAAGAGAAGCACCTTCCTTGAGACATGTACATCACACGGTTGGTGATGGGAAAAGTCTGCAGCAAATATTTGTGCTATAATGATAAAGTTTAGTCAATTGTCTAAGCAAGCGCATTTATTCTCACAAAATATGGAAAATGTATACTGCATATTTACAAATATATTTAAGTGGGAGCTGCTATGTTAACAGATTTTAAAAGCTAAGTTTATGGAAAATGCTAAGCACATTTATAATGGAATATGTAAGTGAGTGATAATGAGTTAATATAAAAATAGTGGCGAGGAGGGGCCAAGTGATGGTGTCGTGGACCCTTTACTGCATCACAGACACTAAATTGGGACTGGTACAGAATTTTAAGTGCCTTTTTCTTGGGCCTTGCTGCTGTGATCTTTCTTTAGAACAGTTCTGATAGACCCTTTGCAGGGCTGGCCTCTGTGGATGTTGTCTGTGCCAAATTACAACCCAGAACAAGAGACTGTTCTGTTGTAGTTACTGAGAATAGTGCTTAATAAGTACTGTTTGACAATATGCTGAATTAAGAGAATGTTATAAGGATGTTTCACAAAGGAAAGTGGGTGAAACATCTGATGTTCACAAGTTCTATTTATATGTAAGTTGATAGCAATAGAAAGCCCCGTGCTGAAAGCTTTATTTTTAAAATTTTGTTCAACACATATGAATATGTATGCTAAGAGAAAATGATTTCATCTAGTTCCAAATATATGCAATATCTCAAATATAGCTAATGCTATTTTTAGAATTCAGATTTTTGGCCTCATTTGTGTGAAATGTATCGGACTCCGGTAAATTGATTTGTGTTAACCAAACTCATGCAGTACTGATTAGGACACATCTGTGGTTTCTTCCTTCTTCTGACTGTGACATTCATTCTACTGTTTATCTTGGTTTCTAATCCTAAGTAGCTATGGTTTCCTTCCTATGAATGGAATCCCAAGAGGAAATTATTCTGTATTCTTGTATTCATGTTTCTGTGTATATGTTAGTAAAGTTCAGTGAGATTTAATGTCCAAAGGGAGAAATAACCATCAAAAATTTGTATAATACTTCCATTTGTATTTCAGTGTCACAAGTTAAGCATTTATCTTGAATTTAGTTCATAATAGATTTTTTTATGTTTATTTTTTAGTTGTCAGTGGACACAATATCTTTATTTCATTTTTATGTGGTGCTGAAGTTTGAACCCAGTGCCTCACGTGCTAGGTCAACACTCTACTACTGAGCCACCACAACCCCAGCCCCCATAATAGATTTTACTATATGAAATATTCCTATGGGACATTCAAACCTAGTTCCATTTTTTATAGACAATCTATGATCTGTGGTCATGTACAACATGTGAAACAATAAACTTTTGTGTGTTGAAGTATAAAATATTGGGGCTGGGATTGTGGCTCAGCGGTAGAGCGCTCGCCTAGCACGCCTAGCATGTGCAGGGCCCTGGGTTCGATCCTCAGCACCACATAAAAATAAATGAATGGAATAAAGATATTGTGTCCAACTACAACTAAAAAAAATATTTTAAAAAATAAATAAAATAAAATATTATAACCTGGGGGGTTTTTTCCCCCAGTTTGACTTCTTCCTTAAATATGCTTTGGAGGAAAGATAATATTTACATGGTCCTTAATGTTCCTTGCAACATAAAATATTCTATGCTTCACTGACAGTAGGCTTGTGTGAAAGGTATAGGCTCTGAATATACAGGTGGCAATCTGTGTTTCACAGTGATAATATACTTGTGACCTTATTTTGAAGAGATGTTGGTATTTTGTCACTGGCAGTAGAGCCTAAGAAAAATCTGACTGCATAGCCAAATAGTCGCATTTTTCTTTCTTTTCCTTACTTTGTCACTGGTGCAGTTCTATCAAACACAAAAAATGCCAGAGTCACAAAAAGAGGAGGTAAGAAGAACAATCAACTTGTAGCTAATTTTCACTACTGAGAAAAAGGTCGTAGTGTAAACTAATACCTCTCTTCTCTTTTATCAATAACTGGCATCTGTGCACCATTTATGGCTCACGGAATGCACTCACCATCATTCTCTTGATCCTTTGACACCTTCTGAAAGAGGTACTCTTCTCACGTTTCAGATTAGAAAACTGCCTCCAAGATCTCATGACTTAACTGGGAGCACACAGCTAGTGTCAGGCTGGATTCACACTCAGCTCTCAGGCTTCTAAGCCACCGGACTGTCCAGTGTCTCCTGATATGCACCTGGGCTTCACTCGTAGTAGCTTTGATTCTCCATTGAGATATAGAACCTGGGTGAACCGTGTATGTGCTTGGATGAAATCTGAGCATCCCATTTAGTTTATAGAACAGGAAGTTTTGTTTTTCTTCTCAGGTGGAATAATGTTTGGGACCAAGAAGCTGGAAGTTGGGTTTTATTCTTGCTGTTGACCAGGAACTGATCGAGAACTTTGTATTTCCTCGATGATCAAATGGAAGCAATTAGACTGTAGGCTCTTCGAGCAGCCTTCTTGTTCTAAAATTCTATGATTCCAAATTTAATGATTATTCCTCTACTTGCTTTAACAAACTTCCACCACATATCATGAGCCCAGATCTTTACATAAAATTTCTTCTATCTATCTAAGCCAGGAATTGATACCCTTTGAGTTTTGAATAGTGTAATAATGAAATCACTTTGCAGTAGCTCCCAAAAACCTTTTTTCCCACCCAGTTCTGTCCTCTAAGAAATAGACATGGGTGAAGAAGCTCTTATCCTGAGCTTGAAGAATAGACAATGATAGAACAGTGCCAGTAACACAGTTCATCGAACATCCATTGAGCATCAATATAAAGTACTTGTGCTGTTGAGACCTTGAGCAGCCAGCTTAGTGTGGAAGGCCCGCCCACAAATAGGAAATGTCACTCCAGTTACAAGGACGCTGGGGCGATGTTCCCAGAGTGCCAAGAGAAGAAGGAGAAGGATGTAGTTTCCTCTGTGGCAGGGGAGATGGAAGGGCATGTATCAGCAGAGGCTTCACTGAGAGTGAGATTTACCAGCTGTGGAAAAGATCATTTTAGGCAGAAGGAGGCATGTAGAGAAGATCCAAGAACTGACAGAGATACCTTCAGAGAACCTCAGGTAGCTCTGTTTGTACTGGAGGAGAATGCCATGCGGGACAGGTAACTTGTCTCCAGCTCAGGAATGCTGTAGGCATTGGGGTGACTTTTTTAAGAAGGCCAGGAAGAACAGATCCTTTCCAGAGATGACAGGAGATTCTAGAATTTCCCCATGGGCAACAAGAGGATGAAGGACATTCCAGGCAACAGGTAAATGTGGGAAAAACCCTGGGGACCTCAACTAGCGGCAGCCTTTATCACTGGGCCCTTCTCTGCCCCTGATTTCCCTCATATTTTATCAGTGTTATTGCTGTGGCCAGATCTTGGAGGATTCACCCTGCATCCTGTGGAATTTAGGCATTTTTTTTCCCCCTGAGCAGCGAAGAATCATCCAGGGTTTCCAAGCAGAGAAATAATGTGAGAAGATTTGCATTTGGAAGATTCCAGCAGTAGCAGAATGGAAGCTAGGTTAAAGGGGTGCCAGGGCCTATTTTAAGCCAAGGGACATGAAGGGACTGTAGAAGGGACATGAAGAAGGGACTGTAGCTGAGAGGTACTGCGTTAGAAGAATGATAAATCCTATTGGCTAAGACTTAGTGACCATGATGAACAGGTGCCTCGTCCAAGTGCTTAATGTCCACAAAGTCTTTAATCCTCACTACAACCTATGAACTAGACACTGCTATTATTAGCGTCTGCATCCTACAGATGAGGGAACTTAGGCACAGAGATGTTAAGTAGCTTACTGAAGCAATGGGGCCTATGCTGGACAACAGTATGTAACTTTACAGCTGTTATCAGGACAAACCAATGAATGGTGAAGTTTATTCACTGCATATAGTTTCAGTGACCCTTTCATAATTGCTTCTATGTGAAGGTCCCTGGGTAGAACTTTATTATATACTCATTTTATATCTCCCCAGTAGTATTTACACACATTTCTCCAAAATAGGTACATGCAGCACAAATACAGGGGAGGGAGGTCCACCCTCATCCTGAGGGGGAACAGTCTGAGAAGCCTGAGGGTGGATTCTCTGCCATTAAAATTCTCTGCCAGAGCAAAAAGCGTTCATGTTTATGAAAACAGTGTTGCTAAGTACCATATAGCTCTCTTGCACCCAGCTTTGGAGTCTATTCTTTCCAAGTTAAATGGGAATGTTCTTCACAAACCCAGCAGGTCTGTGGTTTCCTGACAGTCACTTTATGGAAAAAAAGTACTAAAAGGAGAAACCTGGGCCCCCACAAGCAGGTTGGGAGATTTAGTCCCAGACAGAAAGGCAGATGGGGGTAGGAATGTGGATTCCAAAGAGTAGTAGGTGTCCAGCTGCAGTTATACAGTCCACCAGGGAGGTGGGAGGCGGGAGAGTGTAAAAGGTTGTGTCCATTGGCTCAATACAGGTGTGCCTAGCACTTTTCCAAATTTTAAATATTCATTGGGCCTTAATACTTAATTTGGGGTGGAAAAAGACTCTCCTTTTTCTTTCCCTTTTTCATTCTAGGGTCGAAAAGTACAGAGGAACATAGCAAAGACGTTTTGAGACATAAGCATGATATATAGAATAATAATTTTGAGACTATGTAAAAAGCTATGCTAATTATGTGCTATTAACTCATAAAAGCCAAGTGAAATTGTTGAAAAATATTTGAGATTTTATTTTTAAATACAGACTAATTTGGCTTCATTAATCTCTTAATTAAATTTATCTAATGGTATGATTGTTTGTCTCCAGAGTCTTAAGTGAAGTATGTTCTTTGCCCAGTGATGGGGTTAGTGAAGCACATTACTCTTGCTAGACTCTTCCTTTGACTCACCTTAGACAAGGTAACAACTGTTTTATATTATAATATCTCCAAGTTTAAACTGATTTTGATTGCTTTATACCCATAAAGTCTCTTTGAAAGTTCTTACATAAACACAGAATCTTACCCATAATACTCTTAAATTCTGTATTTATTCCATAGTTGAATGACTGGCTTCTTTCCTGGATTAACATCTGTGATAGGCAGAATTCTGGGATAGCCACCTGTTCTCTGTCCTCTGGTGTTATGCCACATTATGTTGTACATATGGTAAAGGGGATTTTACAGATGTAATTGTGGTCCCTAGAGTTTGGGCTGCTATAACAAAGTACCATAGACTAGGTAGATTATAAAAAAGAAAATTTATTTCTCACAGTTCTGGAGGCTGGAAATCTGAGATAAAGTTGCCAGTATGGTTGGATCCTAGGGACGATGCTCTTCAGGGTTGCAGACTGCTGACCTCTCCTTGTATCCTGTGTAACATTGCAGGAAAGAGATGGAGACTTCTTGCCAGCTATTAATCAGCTACTGCTTTCCATTCCTATAGGCCACTCTCAGGTCCTTGCTCTGTAGCTCCCTCCTCATCGCAGCAACAGATGAACTGTCTCATGTCAGATTCCTCTAATGCTCTGAATATTTCCAGCATCCTCTTTTTAGAATTTTAGAAAGAAATGTTTTATTTTCCAGTTCTATTTGGAAAAGGTGTACCTTACTTAACTGAAACCCTTTGTAGTTATTTTTTGCTGTTATATCTTTATAGACTTGTCTGTAAATTTGATCTGATTCTTTGCTTATGACCATAGTTTTAATATAGTGGGATTTTCATGTTAAAATTCTCAATTGTATTTTGAAGTTATAGAGAGTTACCCGGTGCTGCTCTCAGGGCAAACCACCTGGAAAAAAAAAAAAAGTGCTACTCTTGTTCAGCATCTGCATTTTAAAAACTGTTATGTGTACAGAGACTATTAAAATTCATTGGCTTTGTGTATTGATTCTGGAAGCTTCATTAGATTTTTAAAGTTTTGGTCTAAGAATGAGTCTTGTCTCTTTTAAATTGTGTCTGGTTTTCAAGGCTAGACAGGACTTTTGGAAATCCACATAATATGAGAAGATCCTAAAACCTGTCAAACACCTAATTCAAACATTTTTCTTAAGACGATATCTCTGGTGTATCTTCTGTGGCAGTGAATTATATTTCTTAATATGATTCTTTCGTATTTTATATTTTGTCACATAATAAAGTTCCAAGGGGGCTTAAGCCAAATTTGAAACAAAATGGCCCAGCAGATCTCTTTAAGTTTGACCTGTGGCTTGATTTATACTCTTGAAATGAAAGTACGTTTTACACAGTATTTACAACTGATGGGAATCACCCCTTGATTTTATTAGTTGAAGTGAAACATAAAGTGTGAATCATTGCACTTTAGTAGCAATGGGTAAAAGAACTGTGTGGTGTTCTCAGCCAGGCTAATATAAGGGGAGGGGAACTGATGGAGGAGTAAATAAAGCCCGAGTCCCATTTGTGGGGTGCCTTCTCTCCACAAGTACTGTGTTGAATCCCTTCTCTTTATTCTCATTACATCATCTCAACTTATTTACTGGGTTCAAAGAAGTCAAGTAATTTGCCCATAGTTGTGCAGTTAATAAATATTAAAACCACAATTTAAATCTGGCTGCAAACCCAAGGCAACCTTCCAGCCTACCCTGTGGAGTTATCAGGTGTTCATTTAAACTATTAGAGGCAGAGAGTTGGAGGCCCGGAAAAGGGAAATCTTGAAATGTGCCTGTTGATTCTCCTTTACTGGTGGAGCTAGAGCTGAGCCCTGCCTGCTGCTGTGGGTCTCATGCTCTGTGTGTGCTCACACAGCCTGGTAAATGCCCATGTCACACAAACCTAACACCAAGCTAACATTCACCATCCAGCATGGAGTGAGAGTAGACCGGATGCATCAGACTTACTGAAAGAAGAATATCTGTCCACTGTAATATAATGGATTTTCCTATATAAATCTTAGCCTCCTCCCTCACCTGCCAGAAATATTCCATGGTATGTGCTGGGCACTGTGCTAGGAAATTTAGTGTGTTGTGCATGTTGGTAGAAATATTAGAACTACTATTGCTCACCTTTTTTTCTAAAAATTGCTTGGTGTAGAATTCTTAATCTTTTAAATATTAGGTACGGTTCAATATTTCAAGCATAAAATTTCAGATTTGACTTAAGTAGGCATACTTCTGTTTCACACAGCAGAACTCAATTAGGTATAGTTCCTGGTAAATCCTAATGTTGAAAAAGGAGTCCTTTGTCTAAGGGTTTATTTAATAAGAAGGTAATAATATATCTCTAATCTTTTTTCTCTTTTGTTTTATACATTCCTTTTTGCTTAGATTTCACAATGAAGTTCTTAGAGGCCAGGTTACTGTTTAATGCTCTATCTAAATTAATTTTAATTTCTTATTGCTGAGATATCACAATAAAGATTAAAAATTGTAAGCACAGTTCTTTCATTAGTTTAGAACTCAAGTCTTTGGGCCTTTGAATAAAGTATTCATCTAAAAATAGGACCTTAGACAATGTAGATTGTTGAAAATACTCTGTTTGGGATTGGGAGTATGGCTCAGTGTTCAAGTGGTGGACTAGAATGTGTAAGGCCCTGGGTTCAATCCTTAGCACTGCACATATGCACATGTACACACACACACACACACACACACACACACACTCCCTCTTCTTTCCCTGAGAGGCTTAAATTTTGAATAAGTTCTGAGTCCTTAACTTACATTTAGATTTATTTGATATGAATGTTTACTAGTTAATACCCAAGATGGTTCATGTAGAAAACATTATTTTACACACCTAACATGTTGCTCAACTGTCCTATGAAATACAGATAGAACAGATAAAGGGGTAATGTAGGAGCTAATAGTCTAGGTGGGGAGACAGGGATGATCCTGTTTGTTTCATAACTATGCATTCAAAGTAAAGATAGGTCTAAGAAGACTTAAATGCTTTCTTTTTTTTAATTGTTGGTTGTTCAAAACATTACATAATTCTTGATATATCATATTTCACACTTTGATTCAAGTGGGTTATGAACTCCCATTTTTACCCCGTATACAGATTGCAGAATCACATCAGTTACACGTCCATTGATTTACATATTGCCATACTAGTGTCTGTTGTATTCTGCTGCGTTTCCTATCCTCTACTTAAATGCTTTCTTAGCATGTATTTTATTTTCCTAAATGTGTGTGTGGTAAAGGAA